CTAAAGTGTAATTAAATTTATATTGAAATTATGATATCCTTAATACCATATACATTATAACAAAATTTTTAATATTTTTATAAAAATTTCAGCAAAACCTCCCTTATATACAAGACCTCCTGAAAATTATACAATACAATGTTTAAAACAAAATATTACATTAATCAGAAGCTCAACTTCTTCCAACTAGCAGACAAAGTATATAACAAAATAAAGACTCTAATTATAGCCTCTAACAAATTTTCATAATATAACACATAAATTAGATCATTACATCAAAATAGGGATATTGGCAAAATAATTATTAGCCCAACTCAGTAGTAAGCTATCAATAGTTAGCAAGAGGTACAACATCAGTTAAAATATATGAGACAAAAAAATAATTTTTCTAAAAAATAACATTCCAACGATAAATAAGTGAAAAAAAATAAAAAGAATAAATTATAATGTTTATATAAAATAAAGAGACAACAATTTTCATATAACCTTAAATAATATTTTGAGCCATCAAATTATCACATCAAATATTATTATCACTTAATTTAAAAAAATAAATAAACAGAATAAATAAATATAGCAGCATCACTAATTAAATCAATAGAACATAAAATCACCAAATAATCAAAGCTCATATTTTCGAGGACTTATGAAAATAATTAACAAACATGATTACACAATCCATGAAAGTAAATAATGAAACGTGACTTATGTCATGAAAACAAACGTGGATATACAATCTAAAAAAGTAAATAACCAAACTTAGTCTGAGCTACCAAACAAATGTAAATACACAGTCCGCGAGGTTAGTATTAGCCAAAGGCGGCTCAAAACTATGAGAACAAATACATGTGTTAAACTCACGAATAACAAACATGAAAACAAAATTCACAAAAATCAAACTAGCTAGTTATTGGCCATGATACATCAGGACTAATGAAACTACCGTTAGCAACTAATATTCTATATAAGATCCTTTCCAAATTTATTTTCACACATACAAGAAAATAATTACTGTTAGATACATCTTTCATTCTTAGTATCAAATTTACATGAATGATTTCAAGCATCAAGTTAATATTTACCAAAATAAAATTTCACAATCAATGTACATACCAACATTTATTGATTAATCAAAATTACCAAAGCTATAGAAATGATTTCATCAGTTTGAAAGTATATCTTATAAAGAACAAACAGTCATATGCCACAATTTAATTGTTTTTCACCACCGTCTTATAAGTTTGAAATAAAATAATTTAATCAATAAAATACTAAAAACTCGACATAATTGTTATTAAAAATAATCTACATAAAGATATAATATTTAATAAAAATAATTTTATTGATAAATCAATTGAGATGTTATTCACTTACCTAAAATATTCTTAAAATTAAAAAATTTATCTCTCGACTTTAATTAAACTTCTCCTCTTCCAAACACCATATAAATTATATTAAGATTTTTAAATAAATTTTTGATAAATTCAATAATTTCTTCTCAACATTACCGCTATCAAAATTTAACTATAATAAATTTTAAAATTTTAAAATCAAGACTTTACACATAAAAATTTTTCAAAAGCCATGGCTCAATACTCTATTAAAATACAATCTCCTATTAAGCTTTTTATCAAAACACCAAATGTACATTATTTTCAAATCTCACAAATAAAGCTTTTTTAACATTCAAGAATCTTATCACATAGTTCATCAACAACCATCTATTCTCAAGAATTTAAATAGTTTTATATTAGTTTTATACTCAAATTTCTTTTGCAATCTTCAATCTAAGTTGACAGAGTAATAGTACTCAAATTGAACACACAACTCCACAAAGGATCAATGAAATTTAAAAAAAAAAATTCAAAATCAAGTAAAGTTTTTTCAATCACAAATTATGTCAAACACTTTTCATGCACTAATTTTTAAGCTCCAAACAAATTTTTTCCCCTTGATTCCATCCCCCAACAATTTATAATATAAATATTTAAATCAAACAACCTCCCAAATTTCATTTCTTTCAACAGGATATCAATCTTAAATCCACGGAAAATCAAACTGATAAATTACAATCTTGCTCTAACACTAAAATTTCAGCTTGAATTAATTTCTCATCCTTATTCAAACATTCACAATAGCAGAAAAATAAAGCATCACCACTTCAGTCATAAGGCACACGCGCACACACAAACGACAAGTGAGAGGTGTACTCGAAGCCTCCATACCTCTATTCACATTGGCAGACATAGGGAGGAAAAGAAATGACAGCAAGTGCAAGGGAAAAGGGCGACAGTCTACAAAACGAACCTCCCACAGGCGAGAACTAATTCCCATGACACAACACTAAAAGAGGGAGAAAATACTGAGCGAACAGGAGATCGACAACACAAAAAGGGAAGAGGAACTCACGATTCAAGTGGCGGCGAAGCTCCAATACTTACTCATGGCGGCGGCAAGCTATAAAAAAAGAGGAGAAAGGGGGCGACAAACTGGGTTGCAAGTCGAGGTTTTGAAGGTTCTGAGCCACAAACTCCTCTTGCTCCCACACAGTCCAGACGCACGACATCTCGAGGAAGGAAGAAGGCCGTCGTCGTCGTCGGCATTAATTGCAAAGGAGGAGGAAGAAAACGGAGATTTTGGGATGAAAGGGCAAGGGTTTTAGGCGGGCGATCTCTCTCTCTCTCTCTCTGTAACACTGAACAAGATCAAAGAAGGAGGAGGAATGGAGAAGCATTAGGACTTGTTTGGCAAATAATTTTTTATTTTTTAAAATAAAAAATAAAAAAATTTTGATATATATTTTCAAAAAATATTTTAAAAAATAAAAAATAAAATATTATTTTAAAAAATAAAAAAGTGAAAATAACTTTTAAATATTTTTGAATTATTGTTTTAAAAAATAAAAAAATAAAAAATATTTATTTTTATTATTTTTTATTTTTAGAATATATTTTATAAAATATTAATTTTTAAAATAATAAAGTAAAAATAATTTCAAATAACCTCTTAGGCCGACGTGACTTTGTTTTCTAATGCAAATGAAAAGGGCAAAACAATAATTTTGGCCACAAGTTTTGTTGAAGCAAAAATGACATTCCCCTTTCGTGCTCCAAAGAAAGTTTGGACTTGTTAAAGCAGCATCAAGAGAAATTTACCAAGCCACCAGCTTATTTTTCTCCCAAAAAATAATAAAAATATAATAAATTTATTTTATTACTATTCTAATTTTATAATCATTTTTTGGATTATTATAATTTTTAATGAATTTATTTTTATAAAATAAAATATTTATTTAATTTTTTGAATTTTCTCATTTTATTATTATTAATATTAAAATCAATTTATATTTAATACTATTATGTTTTTATTGAATAGATTATGAATGGCACGGTGCATTGGGTATATTCAAAAAATTTTTGAGAGACCAATTTCAAAGATGATAACAAAAAAAATTTCAAAAGGGATAAATGTTTTAAAAATTAAAAAAACTAGCATTTTTTATAAGAAAAGAAAAATTAATTGTTTGATTCATTTAATTTTAACTCATTTATAACTTATAACTTAACCCGTAAACTTTAATTTGTTGTAGCTTATAATTTTAACTCAATTGTAACCTATTTTTTAATTTCTGACTCAGTGCATCTAAGTCTTTATGATTTTAATAATTTAAAATATTAGTCTCTTTATTTTTTAAAAATAAGATTATAAAGATTAAAAGTTTTAGTAATTTAAAATATTAGTTTCTAAATTTAAAATTAATTTTAATCTTTATAATTTTATTTTTAAAATATAAAAGCTAATATTTTAATGATTAAAAATATAATGATTTAGTTATATTAAGTCAAAGGTTAGAGTTAAAATTAAAATTGAGTTAAAACTATAAAATCAAGTTATAATGAATCAAATTTTAAGGATAAAATTATAATTCAGCTAAAACTAAAGGGTTAATGAACATTTTTTATTTTAAACTATTACTCGAATAACATTTTGAATCCAAAATTATTACTTGAATAGCAAATTATCTCTACTGTTAATTTACATGTAACTACCACTACTTATGACTTTGTGAGGTCTGGTTAAAGGCTAATGTGACACTCATCTCCTCTTGACATGTGACATGCTAATTGAGTTATATAATAGTTAATGCTATGCAAATAAATGGTGGGAGGTAATTTATTCAAAATTTATAAATTAAAATTTTTTTTACTTATTTTAAAAGTTTAGGATTCATAATATTATGTAAGTAATAGTTTAAAGTTCAAGATATTCATGAGTTCAAAAATAAATGGACCAAATGAACGTTAAATGAGTCATCCCATGAGTTAGGGTTCGTTTGAATTTCAGTTCGGTATAATAGATTATGAAAATAATTGATTAAGTGGATAGATTTTAATCATAATTGATTATATTATAACGCAATCGGTTTGGATACTCATGCTAATAATTTTTTTAGAGATTCAAATTTTATTAAAAAAAAAGAAGAGAAAAAAGTTTTGTTTTAGTTTTATTAAATTTTGTGCCTTTTTTGTGATTTTTTTCTTGAACTTTTTATAATTTACTCATATAACTTTGTAACAAAGACACATAGAAGTGGAGAAGTTGAGATTTGGAGTGTTGGGGCAAAATTGATTTTTTGAAAAAAATCAATTTTAAAAAAAGTAGATGTTTGGGTAAATTATAACTTAATTGATTTTTTTTGTTCCTAAAATCGATCAAGTCCTCAATCCAAACAGTAGTTAAACAGAGGCTAAGATTAATTAATTTGTTTTTACATGAATTGTTTTTTAGCCGTTTGACTTGTTTTTTCTTGGAGCCTATTCATATTCATATCACCAATCCTATTTATAATTACAACCCTTATCATAATTCATAGCATGATTTTTAGTTACGATGATAAGACCGTAATTAGATAATGATAAGAAGAATGTAATGAAAAGAAAATGACATGAGAAGTGAGAAGGACGACTAAGCTGACCAGATGATTCGTGGTTAATCCGATGATCCGATTCGACCCGTTCGGGTCTTCTTCATTCTTTCCAAGGAACAAGAAAAAGTTCACCCCTTTTCTCTCTTCGATTATTTCCGTTCCCTCCGTCTCGGCTTCTTTCCCAGCGGTAGCGATCGACGGCGATGACGGCGGCGAAGTGTTGGTGCGTGGACGGATTGTCAACTGGTTAGCTTCTGTCTCTCACGCTCTCCCTTCTTGCAAAAGTTCACAACTTGTGTTTCGAGCGATTCGGAGTTCTTAGTACTGTCGGTGATGTTCACAGGCTGCTGTGGCCTTTGGTTATTTTTGGGTTTAAGCTAATGTAGCTGAATTTGCTGATGAAGTTGACTGTTGGTACCTTTATTTATTCTTTTTGCTGTTTGATTTTCTTTCCGTATGAAATTGATTGCTTGGTTAATAATTACGTTGTTGAATATGCTAATGTAGTTAGCCTCTACTGTTTTAATTTTGTAGCATTTCTTCTTTTGGGGAATTTGAATGAGTAATCATACAGCTGGAATTTCTGGTTAGAGCGAGGATAAAGCTTGAAATTGGTAGAGCGGGAGATTTCAGAAGCACCACTTCAAATTCTCAGAGTACTGGAGATTAGATGACACGCGCCACCCCATGGCGCGGGTGAGAAGCAATGATAGTCTGTTAGGGAACGAGGAGGGGCCTTTGGGAACCCTAGGAATAAAAACTTGAAGAGCAGTGTTCACCCACTCGCCAGGTCCCTCGCGTGAGATTTCCAGATTCTGATCAACTTGAGAAGGATACCTTCTTTCATGCAGTCAGAGGTACTCTCCCTCTGTTTTCTCTTACATCTTTCATTCTTTGGTTTGTGGTTCGCCTCTTATCTCTGTTTCTCTTGTTTTGTTTGATGTCTTAAATGCATTTTGTTTTTGTACTGTAATGTTAGTGATAAGATATTAGTGATAAGGACAGAGAAATCTGGCACTGTAATGTTAGTGCTGCTTTGAAAAATTCATTTTTTTCGATATCTTAAATGTATTTTGTTTCTATATAGAATTTAGCATATATCAATAATTATTTTCAATAACTTGGGATAATATAGTAGCGACAAGGAAAGAAAATCTGGCACTTTTACAATGTGTTGGGCGTGTCCCCAGAAGGTTGCCCAAGAAAACACTTTTATGTTATCGTTGGTAACCATTGTCCAGTGAACTTACTATAAAAAAGTTTTGAATTTCCAAGTTCTATATCCCATTTGGCAATCAGCAATAATCAGCTATCAGATGAGAAGTGTGAACTTCGAAGAAGCAACCTTGAATATATAACTTTAGCAAGATTTTCGTTGAAGCTTGTTGTTAACAGCTCAACCTTTTTTTGACAGGGTGTAATATTTGAGGGAAATGGGATTCCATAAGCTGTATGTGGAAATGGGTATGGGTATTGACCCTTGAGAGTAATTAACAATTGATGACATTACATATATTGGTGGTTGATCATGGGTTTAGTCCACTGTTGGCCTCATTTTTTAATGTAATGGATACTTAAATCTTATATTGAGAAGTATGAGATGCTAAATTGAGTATTTAAGTGGGTAGGTACTCTCACCTCAGTAGTTAGTTTTTGGCGGAGGATTCCCCATTACACTTGAGTGTTCATCAATTGTTATTAGAGTTTGGTTATGGGCAATCTTGAGAAGGGCTACTTGTGAAAGGTTCTAATTGGTGAGAAAACTGAGTAACATGTAAGAGGGTGTCATGGCCAGGATGTTTGCCCTCCAAGGGGGGCTAACTGATGGAGACTAAGGTGGTATTCATTTTTTATGTTTGATCTATCTTAAGTGGTATGAGATGCTTAATGAGATTTTGGTTTGTTAGTATTCTCACTTCAATAGCTAGCTTGTGGAGTAGGATTTTTCACCTCATTTGAGTAACTATTAGATTGATGAAAGGTAGCTAGTGATTGGTAGCAGGCAGGTAGCTCAATGTTGTTAGGGATAGTTGTAGATGGCTGGCAATTGTCAACATATTATGATGGTGCATGTTTGAGGTCCCGTTCAGGTGAAAAGACCTGTAATTGTGTGATTTACATATCACAAGAAAAGCCTTTTCTGGAATCCCCAAGTTCCCTCTAATGATTAATTGTAGCATTGTCAAATGAGGCTCTTTCTCTTTATATCCTTGTAATGTGTTACCCTAATGCAGAAAGAAAAACACTCAGATGCCTTCATTTGCTCATTGCCCAGCTGTCACTTTCTGCTGCATTTTTGGGCAGGCATATTGGTGTTTGGCAAATTTTGGGTTTTCTCACTGTTTGTAGCGTGTACTCTCAACTACTTGGATCAGAGTAAGGAGTGCGATTTGTTTTGGCACTTGTATTGTATCCCTAGACTTGCTTTGCAGAGAATTATTTGCACAACCTCTTTATGGTGTCTTGCACATCAGTACATGGTGTCTTACGAATTGTCTCTTGAGCAGACATGTAAGGGGCCAGTAGCTTTGTTATCTTGATATACATCTGTATTTACTGTGATTTTTATCTATCCACAAGTATAATTTTTAATTCATTCTTAATTTGTTATTCTCGCAGTTCTCTTTCTGTACTAATTTCCTCTTTTGAAGTTCCTTCTTTTATACAGAAACAAAGATTGTGTGATTGTAAAGTTGCTGATTTTTTTTGTAAAATTAGTTGGTCATTATCCCTTGTTATTGATGTTTATTTTTTTGATAAAATTGAGTTGATTGCTGGTAAAGGTAGTCAAACAAGGTGGACTGTTCAGTTTTAGTTGATTGCTGCCTTTTTGTTTATTAATCCCCTAGTGCAGAGAGCTGTAGTTGATCAAAGGGATGATTCACGTGTTTTATACTCAGTTTTAATTCTTTTTTTTTTTTTGCGGATTGTTCTTTCATTAATTTTCTGCCTGTGTGATCTTTTTTCCTCTTTGGATGAAAGATTTTTTTCTTTTCAAAGAAAAGTAAGTACAGAATGTTGGAGGATAATAAACCCTCAGAAAAAAGATAACTAATATAGTCTCTGAACAGAACAATAAAAGCAGTCCTGATGAAGCTAAAATCAGTGAAGGAGATCTATCCAGTCTCTTTGCTGGTCGAAAGCAAGAAATCGCCTGAAAAAGAAAAAGACTGTGCACAGAGAAACAAAGAGAAGCCGTGAATGCAACCATATCCCATAACGAGTTTAAAATAAGAAAAAGCCATTGAAAATGTCGTTTTCCTTCTTTTTGACAAATCCTTTAAATAATTTGGGTGAACTCATCCAAGGTAGCAGGGTACACCCCATGCTCTCCAAAAATACCTAAGAACCGTTGCCAAATGTATCCTTGCTGGGAAATGAAATGTAGATGGACCAAAATTTTTGAATCAGATTCAGATAATCATGTTACGCATGTTATATAAAAAGGCATATGGGGCCATCAAACCTGCAACAATTCATTATTGTTTTCTTGTTTTTGTGTTACTGATTTTAAAAAAAAGTTATTAGGAAATGGAAATAGGATTTTCCAGAAAAATATCAGAAGAATTACAGGTTCCAAACTCATTTTGACAAGAGGGAAAAAGAGACAAGGGGCCTGGGCTATCCATGATTCTCCTATGTAATAGGAACCAGATGCAGTTTTAAGCATGGTCTCTTTGTTCCACTCTATTACCCTCTCTCTCCTATTTTTCTATTTTTTTTCCTTTTCACTGTTTCCATTGCTTGACATCGGTACTGTTATTTTGACTTTTCAGATACTGTAGAAAATCCCAGGCTTTTCTCACCATGGACATAGATCTTAGGTTACCTTCTGGTGATCACGATAAGGATGAAGAACAAAATACAATTGCTGGCTTATTGGAACACGAAGAAAAATTGCATAATGGAGATCTAGAAGGCCAGAATATTGTTGGTGCTAGTGTTGATGTAGATGCTGGAGATTTGAATTCATCCACAGTGGATTTTGCATTATTTAAGGAAGATACAAATCTTGAGCCCCTTTCTGGCATGGAATTTGAGTCTCATGGGGAAGCTTATTCTTTCTACCAAGAATATGCAAGGTCAATGGGATTTAATACAGCAATACAAAATAGTCGCCGATCAAAAACATCAAGAGAATTTATAGATGCAAAATTTGCTTGTTCCAGGTATGGAACAAAAAGAGAGCATGACAAATCATTCAATCGACCACGTGCCAGACAGAACAACCAAGATACTGAAAATTCAACTGGTCGAAGATCTTGTTCAAAGACTGATTGTAAAGCAAGCATGCATGTAAAAAGAAGGCCTGATGGAAAATGGGTAATACATAGTTTTGTGAAGGAGCATAATCACGAGCTTTTACCAGCTCAAGCTGTCAGTGAGCAAACAAGAAAAATGTATGCTGCAATGGCTAGACAGTTTGCTGAATACAAAACTGTGGTTGGTCTGAAGAGCGAGAGAAATCCATTTGACAAAGGTCGTAATTTGGGCCTGGAGTCAGGGGATGCCAAACTTCTACTTGATTTTTTGGTGCAGATGCATAGTATGAATTCAAACTTCTTCTATGCAGTAGACATTGGTGAGGATCAACGACTGAAAAATCTTTTATGGGTTGATGCTAAAAGTAGGCATGACTATATGAACTTTTGTGATGTAGTTTCTTTTGACACCATCTATATTAGAAACAAATATAAGTTGCCTCTTGCACTTTTTGTTGGAGTAAACCAGCACTATCAATTTATACTGCTTGGGTGTGCCTTAATATCAGATGAAAGTGCTGCTACTTATTCTTGGCTAATGCAGACGTGGTTAAAAGCAGTTGGTGGCCAGGCTCCAAAAGTGATAATCATTGCCCATGACAAGACATTGAAGTCAGTTATTTTGGATGTCTTTCCTAATTCTCACCACTCTGTGTGCTTATGGCATGTATTAGGGAAGGTATCTGAAAATTTGGCTCATGTAATTAAGCGACATGAGAATTTTATGGCAAAATTTGAGAAATGCATCTATAGGTCGTGGACAACTGATGAGTTTGAGAAGAGGTGGTCGAAAATTGTTGATAGGTTTGAACTCCGAGAGGATGAATGCATGCAGTCATTGTATGAAGATCGCAAATTATGGGTGCCAACATTCATGAGGGATATTTTCTTGGGTGGTTTGTCTACTGTCCAGCGATCAGAAAGTGTGAATTCCTTCTTTGATAAATATGTTCATAAAAAGACCTCTGCTCAAGATTTTGTCAAACAGTACGAAGCAATCTTGCAAGACAGGTATGAAGAGGAAGCAAAAGCTGATTCCGAGATTTTGAATAAAGTGGCAACATTAAAAACTCCTTCGCCATTAGAGAAGAGTGTTGCAGGGAGTTACACACACGCAGTGTTCAAGAAGATTCAAGTTGAGGTTATTGGTGCAGTTGCTTGTCATCCTAAAACTGAAAGGCAGGATGATACAGGCATTACTTACAAGGTTCATGATATGGAAAAGAATCAAGACTTCATTGTTGTGTGGAATGAAATTAAATCTGAAGTGTCATGCATATGTCGGTTATTTGAATATAGAGGTTTTCTTTGTCGACATGCATTGATTGTTCTTCAATATTCTGGCTTTTCGGTAATCCCATCCCGATATATCTTAAAACGGTGGACAAGAGATGCAAAAGCTGGACAAACAACGGGAGAACAATCTGAACATATGCCAACCAGGGTGCAACGGTACAATGATTTATGTCAACAAGCAATAAAGTTGAGTGAAGAGGCGTCTCTATCTCAAGACAGTTATGGTATTGCATTCCTTGCATTGCGTGAAGCATACAAAAATTGTGTGAGTGTTAACAATTCTAGCAAGAGTCCTACAGAAGTTGTCATATCAGCTAGTCAAAGTCAGCTCTCCACTGAAGAAGATACCCAAAGTAAATCCATGGGCAAGGCAAACAAAAAGAAGAATCCAACTAAAAAGAAAAAGGTTTTGTTATTTTCTTGGTTTGCTTCAGGGTACATTTACATTTCTATGTTGGCTTGAGTTTCTATTATGACCTCTTTGAATTGCAGCTGCACTCTGAGGCTGAAGTGATGACCGTTGGGGCACAAGATAACCTGCAACATATGGTTAGTCCTCCTATGATTATTTTCCTCAAATTTTAAGGCAGGGTGTGTGTAGAAGAAAGTCAGGCTACATGGGGGATTTAAGCTAACCAAGAGAAGATATTATTTTGAAGTTTAAAATGGAAGCTCCATCTTAGTTAAGTGTCTTCATTTAATTGGAAATTTATTTTGCAGGACAAATTCAGCAGCACAAGGGCGGTAACGCTTGATGGTTACTATGGCTCTCAACAGAGTGTTCAGGGGATGGTAGAAATAAGATTCACTTCGTTCTTATCTTTCTTTGTTTCATATTAGTGCCCTTATGTATTTGTTTGTTTGATTGCTCAGTTGAACTTGATGGGGCCAACTCGTGATAATTATTATGGAAATCAACAGACAATTCAGGGGCTGGTGTGTCTTTGAAATTGTGATTAATTATAGTGGGCTGAGGCTTCTTGTTGTTTTTGTATTTAGTATGAGTACGGAACTTTAGAAATTCTGTTGTTTGTATACAGGGACAATTAAGTACCATACCAACGAGCCACGATGGTTACTATGGTTCACATCAAAGCATGCCTGGTCTGGTAAGGTTTGTTTACGTTGAGCATAATGCAACGTTTGATAAGTAGAGAAGTATTTTTTAAAAAAGAAATGAAAAATATATCTATCCTGTTTTCTTTGGAGAACCTACATGCTAGTGAGTGTGGGCACTTGCCCCCACTCACTTCTGCAAAAATTACATGCAAAGCTTGTAAAATTTATCTTTTTTGACCCTGCTAATTTAAATATTTTGATCCCACTAAGTTCCACACTTCCAATTCTAATAGTTTGCCCTTTTGGCCCCACTAACATGGGTTCTTGGACCCACCACTGTTTCTGGGTGCATTTCTCATTTACTTTCTAGAAAATATTTTTCCATGTACCAAACATGCATTAAGTTTCCTGCCATTGTAATATTTATGTCAAACTTTATAGTTGTTTCAAATATTGCAGGCACAGCTGGATTTTTTCCGAGCATCGACAAATTTCGCTTACAGCATTCGGGTGAGTTTGAGTTATGTGATGTTGTAGATAGTATTTTCTTTCTGACTAACACTTTTGCGATGGCTTCTTCCTTGTGGCAGGATGATCCAAATGTAAGACCTACACAATTGCATGAGGATCCATCAAGACATGCATGAGCATATGTAATTGTAATGTTATATAGGATACCTGTGGTTTATCATATAGATCTTGTTAATAAATGGTAAAAGGGTTATCTTATTTTAGTGTTAAAGATCTTGTTGTAGAGGTGGTTGGTTGTACTGTAGTTATGATTCTTTAATCTAAATGTTAAAAATTTGTAATCTGCAATGATAAATTTAAAATGTTCTTCATCTTCCTCTGGTGCTTATTTCATTTATTATCACTGTCTTTACCTTTGTCAAAATGAGTGTTAATGGATGCTACAATGTTTTTTTTGCTTTAGTTTCCTTTAGTTCCTTGCTTTTATTTCTGATGATGGTGTGATATTATAGAGAAGGAATGAAGAGAGCACATGAACGGAGGACAAAATTAAGGTACTTATGTTTTCTAATAAATAATACAATTTGGTATAAACTTTATGCTTGTTCCAATATTGCCCTTCTCTCCTCAATATATTTTATTTTATTTAATATTTCACAAAGAAGGTTATATTAAATGAAGAGTATTTTTTAAAATTTATATTTATGTGTTTAGTGTGTATAGGGAATATTTGTATTTAATTTTTTAAAAAAATATAAAATATATTTAATAAATTTTATTGATACACCTAATATTGTTAAAAAATATCTTGCAACCAAGGATTGAGGGAAAAAGTTGTAAGGCAATGCAAAGGTTGAGATGGGCAGGATCCACTCTAGCGTGTTTCTGGTGGGGCGGCGAGGTTGCGGACTATATGTTTCAGTTTAAATTTTAATAAATATTTTTTAATTTTATTTATAAATTACTTTTAAAATTAAAAATTTTTAACTTATTTTATTTCTAATAAATATATATACTTTAATAATACAATTTGTCTCACCAATATTTAATCGGAATATAAAAGAGAAAACTTGTGATAAAAAATAAATAATATGTTTTATAAATAGAATAAAAAATTATTTATATATACACACACATTATAGATAAGACTAGAAAAGTAACTTATTAACTTTTTATTTTGGATAAGAACATTGGTATCATATTTTAAGGTGCAATATATTTATATATATGCTCCCTCAATCTTAAGATAAAATTAAATAACTTCGCGCTTATAAAAAAATATTAAAAAATATTATTTAATAATTATAAAAAAATTATTGTCTAAGAATTCAAGCCATAATCAATAAACATGGGTAAATTGGAAAATAAAATTAATTACTCTAATTTTATTTTATACTCCCTCCTTTTGAAAATGTAAGACATTTTGTGAGGAGTTGGATGTTCAAAAATACAAGGCATTTTTACTCTTTTGAAATATAATCATTATCTTTTTTTTTAAAGTGCCCCTATTAATAATGAATTTATATTTATTATAGGGTGTTTAATAGGGATAAATATGAAAAAATAGGGTTAATTAAAAAGTAGATAATTATCTTATTAGGGGTAAAATTCAATTAAAAATATATTATATTTTTGAATGAAGGGAGTATTAAAGATAAAAAAAGTTTCTGAAATTGTCATCATATATAATTTAGTTAAATGAAATATAGTAGTCCAAGTAAAATTAAATAAACTAAAGGAAAAATTAATTTACATGTCTTTATAGTTTTTCTCAATTCTAAATTAAACCCCTGTATTTTATTTTTTTTAATCAATTAAATATATTAATACTTGAAGATTTAAATTATTAATGAATGATTGAATTTTTCAAAATAAAGATACTTTTGAAAATTATAGAAAATTTGGTCTAATACTTTTAGCCAAAAAAATTATTTAATATGATATTTATATTTTTATTAATTTTTATGAAAATTCTATATGCATAAAAGTTACTTATAAAATGAGCTAATTATATCAATTTTGATTTATAAAAATTATGTAATTAATTCTAAAATTATATAATCTTTTTAGTGAACATATAAAAGTTCTTAATTTTATTTTTTAAAAATGAAAAATTAAAGGGTTTTAATAATCAAGGACTAACATATTTAATTAATTAAATTATAAGGTTTTGATTAAAACAAATAAAATAGAAAGACCTAATTCAAATAAAGTAAAACTATATAGATTTGTGGATTAAATTTCCCTAAACTATATTTCCTAAAGGTGGATATATTTTTTAATATAAGGCCTTGGAAAATCATATAGAGAAATTTGCTCATGTCAGAGCAAATAATACTTTTACATTCTAGGAGTGGTTCTAAAAAAATTGTAGCATGTCATTTGGCCATGACAAGCAAAGTCAATTCACACATCACTTTTTTTTTTCTAAAAACATGATAAAAAAATAACAATCAAGTCTCTCATAACTAAATCTCTTATCCTATATATAATATTTGAGAGAGAATAATCCTGATTGTGGTCATATTGAATGGGGGTGAGAACTTTAGTTGAATTATAATAAACGTTGATTTTAGTAAAATTTTTATTTTAGCAAAGGTTAAGCTCCAGGATACTCTCTTAAGATACGCTGCAGTTTTAGGATAGTGATAAAAGTATCTAAAAAGAATTCTTTAATTCAATTTCCTTAATTGTCATGAATGAGGCTTCCATAGATGACAAACAAATAGTTTGGATTCAAAGAAAAATCAATTTTTGAGTCAAAATAATCAATTTTTGAAAAAAATTACCCAAATAGTCAAAAAAGTTGATAATTTATTATTGATCCAAACTTACATTTGAAATAAGCTCTGAAAAGTTATTTATAAATTTAAATTTACTGTTAAATAATATATTTTACTTTTTAAATAAAACTTAACAAATTTAATAATATTAAATACAACTTTATCAATAATTTAATTTTAAAAACCAATGTCCTTTATGATAATTTATATAGTTAAAATTAATTTTAAAAAAGCAGTATCCAAATAAATTATATTATAACATAATCAATTATAATTAAAATTAATTATTTTTATAATCAATTATATCCAACTAAAATTCAAACAAGCTCAAAGCTATTGATATTAACAGAGCCGTCAATGTTCTATCTAATCCAGTTTGATTTTGATAAGAATTATTTTGCTTGAATTCTATCATTGTTCGATGACTTGAGGTTGAATTTTTATTATAGATTGAAAACATTGATAACATTTTTCATGTAAGAGAAGGTAATGTTCCTTTCATATATTCTAGGATACTTGGGCAAAATTTTTTTGCTAGGGGTCTGGCGCATCATTTTTTACATTCCAAATGATATAATCATGCAAGAAAAGAGAAAAGAAATTATATATCTTAGAGCGTCTGACTAATTTCAACTTTAAAGGTGGATACTCTATTGATTACATGCCCACATCAACTATAGTTCCTAAAAATGGAACTTACAGTTTGTTCTCAAGTCCCATGTATTAACTGCAAGATCTAATATATCTTGAAAAGATAATCTTTTTAACTTTGAAAGTTGGATCAATAATAAGCACTCCCTCTATCTCGAATAATAAAATACTTTTAAAAATTTTTTTCTATTTTAAAATATAAAATACTTTGAATAGATTAAGATTTTATTAAATAATTTAATTTTAATATTATCATTTCTCTCTCTATAGTTAATTTTTGTTCCTTCTCTTTTCAATATATTAAATGATGAATATTTTTTAAAGTTGATATTTTATTTTGAAAAGATAAGGTTGTTAACTGTACCTAATGAAGTTTATTGGTAAATGAGAATTTATCTAAAAATATCTTATAATTTGGAACAGATAGAGTACTAAATAATAAAGTCATTCATAAATTAGAAAAACTTTCATAATTGCATAAGAATATTTATTTCTTATAAAGCATACAGTATTTTTTTAATACAAGGTTATGAAAAAAACCATGCAAAATAATAAATATCAAGTCATATCTAAAATCATAAAGTTTCTACAACCTAAGAAAGGCCGTCAAAGATCATAGCATCAAAATTATCATATGATGTCTAGTGAGCCAAGAGATTTCCGTATCTATTTACTTTTCATGTAAACATCGTTAAAAAACAATCATCCAGTCCTTTATTATAAAATTTCTAATTTTTTTAATAATCACAAATAGTGGACGACTTTTAGAATAGTTGCATTTGACAAAATTTTTATAACATTAGAGTAGATATTAATTTCAATAATTTTGCATTTCATCAAAGATTAAGACATTTCAAAATTATCACGCGCTCAACTGCTCTGTTGAGGTGATAGCCAAGTATAGCATTCTTGTATTTATAATATTACTTGATAAGTAATAATTAAATATTTTAATGTTGGGTGTATTGATACTGATTCAAAACTTTGGCAATATATATATATATATATATATATTTTCAAATTATATTCTTTTTAGTACAAGTAACATTAATGCTCATAATCAAAAAGCCGAGATCTCACTAAACAACATATGTTATAAATGGTTCTGTATAATGAGAAATAATAGATAATTCCTTGAGGTGTTCTTATCTGCTATTGAATAGTACAATATGTATTAAAATTTTTTTATTATATATTGAAATATTTATTTGAACCAACCATCTTCCTATCTTCCTATTTTATTATACTTTCTCCGTTCAAAAATGTAATACATTTTTGAGAAATTGAGTGTTCAAAAATGTTAAGTATTTTTAGTTTTTTGAAATGTAATTATTTTCTTTTTTTTTCAAAAGTATTCCTATTAATAGTAATTTTATATTTATTATAGGGTATTTAATATAGGTAAATATAAAAAAATAGGGTTAGTTTGAAAGTAGGTAATTACTTTATTAGGCGTGATATTCGATTAAAAATACCTTACATTTTTAAATAGAAAGAGTATGCTTTAATAATTTTATATTTATTATTAGCAACTCTAGTTTAAATATATGTTTTAATAACTACTCTTCTATTGGTCAAAGACATAATTTTTATTTAAAAAAATTATGACAGATGAGTAAACTTCAAAATAATTACTTTGTTTTGTGGTACCATTTTATTATTTGTATATTTTAAAGGAATTTATCATTTACATATTTGTGATTTTTTTTTTCCATTGATTTGTATGTTTAAAATAATAGGGCAACATTTCTCCACTCAACGCATAATTAATTTATTGAAAAAATGACAAATAAATTCTATCAAAATAAACAAATGAAAAATAAGTATCACAAAATGTACTAATTACTTTGAAGTCTCTAAAAACTTATTTGACATAAAGTTTTGCAAAATTATGTTTTTAACCTAAGAAAAATAATTAGAAAAACATAATTTCTAATACTTA